GGCCATGTGAAATTTTGTTAAAAATATGGCCCACGGATGATATGCTTTGCAAAGTTGGACTGGACGCAATGGGATATTTTCCCTTTTTTATTTTTTGGGGTGGGGGGCCTCAAGTAAGTAGAGAAAACCATCTGGCAGTACCCAAATGAAAAAAGACATGTGGCATGAAATCAAATTCAAATTCCAACCAACAGGGATCGGATACAGGAGAAGGGACTAGTCTCTAACAACGTGACAACCAAGATTCGAATTTCCTCTGGGAGAGGTACTCACATTTAATGCCCGACAGTGTCTCGAATAGGATTGTTTTCAATAGGAGGACACCTATGCTTTAGCAAAAAAAAAAAAAATCCAAAAAAAGAGTGTCTATAACATCTTGAATAGAATTGTTTTTAATAGGAGATATATGTACTCAACAAAAATAAAAATCTGCATTCTAATGGCAGAAGCCTCTAACTTATGGAATACAAAATGCTTTTGCAAGTCGAAAATTCTCTCTCACTTCTCTTGCACTCTGCACGCTCTACACAGAGTGAAGAAAAGAGGGTGGAGCATGTTTTGGATGGCTTTTTCTTCATCCAGAGTCCAAACTGACTTCTTCCTAGACTCCAACGCCCCATTAGAGGCCATCCATATGTGAGAAATTCCTCTTATTTCTCCACGCTAGCCATATGTTCTCCTGGCATAGTAATCCAAATCTCTAATCCACGGCTTGTGTCAATCAAAATAACCTTCTCAGGAATTGTTTCCCGACCAACGGGTAAATTGAGCAAGCGGCCCATTACTTGGCCCATTCACCTACATCTGGATTGACTGGGCCCATTTGAGCCCGCCCAAACACAACACAAAATGAGCGGGCTCAAATGGGCAGACAGCGGCCCAAATAATATTTATTTATTTTTTTCAAATTTCTTTTAGCTAAAGTGCTGTCTCTCGTCTCACGAAGTGTTTGTGTAGAAAAACAAATCTGGTTTGGAAGTGAAAGTGATTGCATACTTTTTTTGAAAAATCACTTTCAAATTAAAAACTATGGTTTGGAGTATAAAATCATGATTTTCCGTAAATGAATTCTTTTTGTTTTTGCTCTTAAATGTATAAAACGATGATTTGGGATATAAAATATATTTTTAATATTATATTTTTTAAAAATATATATACACATGTCAATTACTACCTCCGATCTTTATATAAAAGTTACATAACTAGTTTTATTAATATTAAAAAAGTTAGTTAAATTAGTTATATAATAATATATAAATTGTATTTCCTAAAATACTTGTTAATAACGTGCATTGAGACTATTATTTGATGAAACATTTAACATATGTAATTTAATATGAGAACTATTTAAAAAAAATGGATAATGAGTTAGGCAAAGTAAATTAAAATCTTATTTCATTTGTTAGCTTTATTAAAAATCAGAGACAATATTAATTAATTATATTTAATTCATATTATTTACTATTTAGCAAAAAATTTATTTACAAATTCATTTTTCAAACAAAAATATAAAATAAAATATATCTTTTTTATAATTATCATATTAACCCATATCTTTTTTTAATAACTTGTACATAAAAAAACCATTATGATACCAACCATTCAAATATTTTGCTTTATTATCGAAATCACTTTTTTTTGTCAAAATCTATTATTTTAAAATTTATTATCACAATAAATTTTATCAATTTTCTGCCAAAAGCTATTCTGATATTCTCCTTTCTTCAAGCTATATGTTTGGTCCTATTAAGCACTTCTGACACTCGTGACTCTCACAACTCGCAACCTCGACTTTGCTCACACCTAGTCCTTCCCCCGGCCGTAGCACAAGCTTCCCACCCTTGTCTTCTCGACCTTTTTCCCTCCCTTCCCCTCTCCGACAGTAGGACTCAGCAGCCGCGAGACGCCGACGCTCACGCAAGAGTCAAGACACGTTTTTCTTTCTTCTTTTTCCCTTTTAAATTCTCAAATAGGTAAATCTTCATTCTCTCATCTCCTCCTCCTCTTCTTGTTCTTTGGCTGATTGGCTGTCTGTAGTATCTGGGCTTGAAAGTGGAGCCGCATTCTCTTAGTATTTATGGATTTTCTTTTTCATGCTAATTGGTGATGAGTGGACCGTCTTTAACATTTATTTATTGGCATTTTTCTGTTGAACGTCTGCTTAGCTCCTAAAAGCTCACTCAAGCTGTGCCGCTGTTTGGTGTGATGCCTTCCATGGCTCGAGGAGAATTCAGAAACTTCACCGGCAGTCAGAAGTCGGGTAGTAAATTATCCCATGAAAATCAGAATCGTCAAACTGATTTCCCTGCCCGGTAAAATTTTCTGTAAATATGAAAAATTTAATCTTTGTCTTAGAATCCAGCTGAGAAGTTAATCATGGTTGGAATTTCCGTTCAGAGCTACTTGAGCTAAATGTTTGAATGTTGTGTCACCAGTTTCTATTGCGAGTGAGTCAAAATAGGTTTAGGGCTCTATTATTTCGATTGCCGTGACATTATTTGTAAATATGCTTTGTTACGCAGGAGACAGAAGATTTTACACAAAGAAAGTCTCTTCCAATTGCTTCAGGTATTGGGTCCAGATTTACTTTTGGTGCTTTTTACGTTCCAATTCTTTTCCTCATAAACTTAACACATTATTCAACTGTTGCCATTTAGTTGAGAAAAGACTTGTTGAGGAGGTCCGAAAGAATGATATTTTGATAATCGTTGGTGAGACTGGAAGTGGAAAAACCACACGTAGGTTACATTTATCCTTATAAATATTATGGTTATTTTTATTTATGAGCTTTATGATTTTCCTATCTGTTTATTGGAATATAGAAGCTAGATAAAACATATGATTAACATGTTTTGATAATTTATATGATTTGCATTAAACTGTGTAGAGATCCCCCAATTCCTGTTTGATGCTGGATTTTGTAATGATGGAAAAGTTATTGGGATAACACAACCTCGGCGTGTTGCTGCTGTTACTGTGGCAAAACGGGTTTCTGAGGAATGTGGTGTTGAATTGGGCCAAAAGGTTGGTTATTCTATTAGATTTGACGATGCTACATCAAGTTCAACGAGGATTAAATACATGACAGATGGATTGCTTCTGAGGTAGAACCTTTGCACAACTCTGGATTTTATTTTACTGATTAATACCCTTGGGTGTAATTTATCAGTTTCATATCATACAATTTTCCTTGTTATTTGGCTTTCCAGAATATAAATGGGATGGTGTGAGGGCATGACTATGATCTTGTTTAATAGTTTTTAAGATGGATATGTGGTTTAAAGCAGTCGAGCAAATTTCATATGACATATGTTTTGTTGCGCTATTAAAAATATAATTTACTAAAAATGCTGATGTGCCTCTTATTGTGCTTGCAGGGAAGCATTATTGGATCCATTTCTTTCTAGGTATTCTGTTATAATTGTTGATGAAGCTCATGAGAGAACTGTCCACACTGATGTCTTGATGGGCTTGCTTAAAAGTGTACAATATGCTCGTTCAAATCTTGTTTCTGATGATCAGAGACGTAATTCTGAAAACAAGAATGTAAAGAGTGGCATTTCATTGGAGAAGGAAAATGGTGGTCAGTGTGGCAGTTTTCTTAGGAAGCACAATAACAGAAAATATGCTCCCCTGAAGCTAATCATCATGTCTGCAAGTCTTGATGCACGGGTTTTTTTCTGAGTACTTTGGTGGTGCAAAAGCTGTTCATGTCCAAGGGAGACAATTTCCTGTTGATATATTTTATACTCGCCATGCAGAGGCAGATTATTTAGATGCTTCCTTGATAACGATATTCCAGGTTATTGGTTTGCTTAGTCTATGTTATTTAATTATGTCTTCTTTGCTAGAAGTTTCTAAGTGTATAGGCACGTAAACCCTTCATTTGCAATGTTCATATTTAGTATTTAGTTGCAGTTTATTCTTTGACGGGGTACAAAAGTGAGATGTGGAACCTTACGCCAAAAAACTTACTTAGATACCCCATTGAGTATCCTATACTATTTAACGTAAGACTTAGTATCCCATACTATCTAATCTTAACCCTCTTTAGAGCCGCCAACAACCTAGCTTTAGTATCAGTTGATGAGCATCTAAGAAGAAGTTGAGGTAGGAGAATCAACCCACTTAAATTTCCTGAGCCTCCCATATTACTCATTGTGGGATTTAGTATCTCATGCTATCAAGTCTTCATCAATCTCTCTTTGTGATGTATCGTTCTTTTCAGTCTGTTTACTTTGTCATGTCAGTCACTCAAATTGTTAGGCTTAATATTGTTGAACAATTCAAAAGAATAATTACGTCAAAAAATAATTATCAACCCGAGTTGTTAGGCTTAACTTTGCATATATTTTTTAGGACTCGTTATGATGGTGACTCATAAATGAAGTTCTTGGTGTTGTTGCTTAAGTTCATGGTCTTTGGTTTTATAGATTCATTTGGAGGAGGGCCCCGGTGATATACTAGTATTTCTGACTGGCCAAGAAGAGATCGAATCTATTGAAAGATTAATAAATGAGCGACTCAAGCAATTACCTGAAAGCAGCCAGAAGCTGCTAACTGTGCCTATATTTGCTGCTCTTCCTTCTGAGCAGCAAATGCGAGTATTTGCACCAGCTCCATCTGGATTTCGTAAGGTATCTAGGTGATCATCTTCATATAATAATTAAATGCTGGTTCAATTCGATATATTTAGGGCAGTCATATATGCTTGTGCATTGCTTATTTCCGATATACAAATTTTCTTTCAAGTTCTTTGGGCACTTGTCTGTATAATTGTAATCCCTCCTTTTCTTTGTTGATTAATAGGACAGAATAACTTGCTTTTACCCATAAGTATACAATGTATATGGCATTTCTATCACTTTCAATTCGACATCCTTTGAACAATTTTCAACTTCTGTTTCGTGCTTTAACAATATCCTTTTTGCAACTTCTTTGCTACTGCTTTCATCATTGAATCACTTTGATTGTGTTATCTGTATCATTGCTGCTAGCTAGCTAATTTACCCGTATGCTCCTGTCAGAATTTCTGTGCACTAAACTGCCATTCATTTTTTTTTTTAAAACTGTATTGCAAGAACCACAGAAACTTTTTCCATCTTTGCCATCACTTCTAATGTTTTATCTCCTTTTTTTAATCTTCATCACTTCTCCTTTTGGTATTATGTCTTCTCTGCAAGCTGACAGTGGTAATTGGTGGATGTGCACAGCAATGTCTGCTTTATAACTTGAGTAGCACCTGTTTTATGTTAGTTATCATATATTTTAATGTTTAAATTAACTTGTGATTTTTATCTAGAAACAATATCATATTATTTGTTCTTAGAGCATATCAGGAGTTTTCCTTTTTCTTCCCTTCCTGCCCATATTGTCGTACTTTATTTATAAATCAGCTCTACTGTTCTTGAAGGTTATACTGGCCACTAATATTGCTGAAACATCAGTAACAATCCCTGGAATCAAGTATGTAGTAGATCCTGGATTTGTTAAAGCACGCAATTACGACCCTGGCAAAGGAATGGAATCTTTGGTTGTAGTACCTACATCAAAGTCCCAGGCTCTGCAAAGGAGGTGTGTTGCTGCATTTATGCTTGGGAGCATTTCATATGGTTGACTGTTGCTGCTAGTGTTATTTTATTTTGTTCAATGAATGAACATCAAACAACTTTATCTCACTTAAGTGCTTAACTCAGGATTGCTTCTTTCGTTTAATTTAAATTCAGTTTAGTGAAGTGAACTTTTGCATTCCAAGTAATACATGGTATTGTTTGGCATGGTCTTTGGGGGTGTGGATGTAACATTAGTGTTTTGAAAGATATTTTGTTGTTTTACTTGGCGGTAAGCTGATACACATCCAATTTTATTATTGCTTGCAGTAATTTAGAATGGATTGTCATATAATGCACAATATTTTATGCTCCATTAACTTTTGAACACATTCATCATGAACGGTGGCTCATTTGGGTCTCTTTTCCCACTTACATTGGTTTTATGCAATAGTTACTGTAAGCTAGCTTAGCTTAATTAAATTGATGGATAAGGAAAATAGTATTGATTGAATGGCTCAGATTGCTTACTGACTTCTTGATACTAGTGGGCGTGCAGGGCGTGAAGGACCAGGAAAATGTTTTCGTCTCTATCCAGAAAGTGAATTTGATAAACTTGAGGACTCTACAAAGCCAGAGATCAAGCGGTGCAACCTCTCCAATGTCATTTTGCAGCTTAAGGCTTTAGGTGTTGATGACATACTAGGGTTTGATTTCATTGAGAAACCTTCAAGGTGAAAATCACTTGAGAATTTTGGATTGATTGCTTCCCTTTTGTATGTTTGTTGATAGTCCTGTGCTTGCAATTTTTTTTTAGTAAGTTTTTATTTTTTATCCTCGTCTTGGTAAAGTGTAGGTTAAATCAGTTTGGGTACAATATTGTAAACTGACATAGACATTTTTGTCGTTACAGCATCAACGATCAACATATGCTTTAATTTACAAAACTGCTACTGTAGTTAAGCTCGTGGATTTGTTAATGGTTCATTCGTTTATAAATCTCTTCAGTGTGGTCCTTCTTAATTCTCCCTTGCATTTATGGTGCTGTTTCCAGTTTACTTGTGCATTATTTGCCAAACCTTGATAACATTTTTCTTGGGTCTGTTTGGAAAGACGCCCCTGGATAACAGATCAGTTCCTTTAACTAGATATGTTAGTGAATATATCTTAGTGGAATTAGTGATTATATAAATGGTTGAGTAAAAATATTAAAAACTTATTTTGTTTCTTTGTGCTGCTTTCTCAACTGTCATATATCATGCGGCAGAACCGAATTAATATTCTTGATGGGTCTTCACTGATATTTGCCACTGTTATTTCTAAAAGTTAGTTTTACAACCTGAACCATTAGACAAAGCTCAAGTCTCTCATATGTTTGAACAGGGCAGCTATCATCAAATCATTGGAGCAGCTATTCTTGTTAGGTGCTCTAATGGATAACTGTCAACTATCTGATCCAGTTGGAATTCAAATGGCTCGGCTTCCCTTGGACCCTATTTATTCCAAAGCTCTTGTTCTAGCTAGTCAGTTTAACTGCTTGGAGGAGATGTTGATAACTGTTGCGATGCTTTCTGTGGAATCCATATTTTATGCACCTCGCGACAAGTTGCAAGAGGTAAGAAGATTGGTCATGACACAACCTAATTTGTTCTGATCATTTTTTATCTGATGCTTGGGTGACAGAATGTGAACATCAGAGTGAATCAATGAATAATGTACTATGCTAACCTATTGACCACATAACGGCAATATTTGAAATTGTTGTGTGGGTAGTTCAAATACATTAAATTGATTACAGAGATCTCAGTCTTCAACTATTTCCTTACTCCACATTTAACCCCTGCTGATATATTTAAGTTTATTGTTGTGTTTCTACCCTTTTGACCAGGCAAGAACTGCAATGAAATGCTTCTCAAGTCCAGAAGGAGACCACCTGACTTTGATTAATGTGTATCGAGCATCTCATGAGTTCCTAGAAAAGAGATCGATGGGAATGGGTAATGCAAAAAGTGAAAAGGCTCTGAGGAAGTGGTGCAAGGAAAACTTTATCAATAGCCGTTCTCTCAAGCATGCTCGTGACATTCACAAGTAGGGTATATGGTGTTTAGGCCTTATCTTCAATGACATTCTTTCTACGATGTTACTGGCAATGATACATTCTCACATGTTGATGATGTTTTTTTGCAGGCAAATTTTGGGGAATGTTGAACAAATGGGTTTGCATGTTGCTTCTTGTGGAGATGATATGCTTCTATACCGCAGATGCCTTGCTGCCTCCTTTTTCCTGAATGCGGCTGTAAAGCAGCCAGAGGGAACATACAGGTATTCAATCTATCGCAAGCTGCCTTAAATATTATTAGACAGGCCCTTCATAGTGCCATTGCCATTTGTTGCGGACAAGGTCAAACTCCATTCTTGGGGGTGCCTTTAAGTTTTGAAATTCTTCAATCACTTTTGACCTTTGGTTAAATTATTACCTCTGATGATTTTGTCGTGTCCCTCTTGCTTTTGCTTCTGTAAAGAGACTCACAGTAAGGCTAACTACATGACAGGGCCCTCGCAAGTGGTCAGGTGGTGCAGATCCACCCTTCGTCAGTATTATTTCAACAAAAACCAGAGTGCATAATATTTAATGAACTGGTCCAAACTAATAACAAGTACATACGGAATGTAACCAGAATTGACTACCTATGGTTGACTGAGCTGGCTCCTCAATATTACGCTGTGCAGAATTGAATTCTTGGCGGTGGCACGGAACTGGTAAACTGCATTAGTGTTATTTTTATATATTTTCCTTTTTTCTCGCAGGTGTGCTATTACACTCTGAATTTGACCATTAACCCCATGCGATCTCCTGTTTGTATATCTGTGGTATGGATCCAAATGGGTGGTGTTTATTAAATTTACCTTATCTATTGATGTTTTCTGTGAAAATGACTAACAATTGCAATATTTCTGTAGAGAAGAAGGCGTAATTTTAGTCCTTCACTAGTAGTTGCATTTCCTATGTTTGTGGATGGAACTCGTTGATGTCCACCTGCAAAAGAATCACCCGGTCGATGTTGGTAATCCTTCTGATGAAGCTGTTTCTTCTTGTTTGGAAGATGGATGGAACATGTGGAGCAAGCCCAAAAACAGCTTCATTTTGAAAAGGATAACATCCATCGATGTTGTTATGTTCTTGGGAAGAATCTGTTTTATATGAAAGGCGGAGGGAGCATGTAAAGCAAGCCCAGGAGAGAGCCATTCATAAAACTTCTATACATCATGAGGTAGTTTTTATGTGGTGGTGGTGTTTGTGGAGAATTTAATGATCTTGTATTATTTTTGACGCTTCTAGTCCGTCAAGCTAACCCTTCAAGTAACTGGTCTGAGTGTTGTACTTCTCCTTTTGAGGGCCCCACCCATCATCCTTGGCATCTAGCTCATCCCATGTATAGTGGTGGATTAGCATCTACCAACATAGAAAAAGATAGTGCCGAGGAATTTTGTCAAGTCAGGGAATGATATTTTTACCTTCTGATGTACACGAAAAGCAACGATTATGTAACTTCCGCATTATGATGATATGAAGCATATCCACCTGTCAATCTCTGGATAAATTTTTTATTATTATTTCCTCAATAAAATCCCTATCAGCATGGAATTCAGCAATTTGGTTTTCTTGGTACAAGGAATTTAAAGTTAGGATCACCAATAAGAGTAAGAGCTTGTGAGTAATCACTTTCGAAGCTTCACTTTCCTGCATCCATTCTCCCAAGCCCTTTTCTAGACCATGTAGTAGGCCGATCTTAGGCCAATGAGGGCCCATTTCTTGTTTCCCAAAACATTTTCGACATGTTAAGCTGAAATCTATTGTTCGAAATTTATGAATAATTTCAAAAACTTTAAATCTTTTCTTTGTGAAAAGCTCTTCATTTTGTTTCTTAAGCATAATTCTTTCAATCCAAAAGGCGTGGTTAGGCGGATTATTTGGTTCAAATAATATTGAAATATCAAAAAAATTATTCTCACTTTAAAATCTATGTAAAGCACATACTTCCATCAAACATTCAAATGCTTCCTCCAATCTTAAATATAATGTTCTAATATGATAAAAAAAAATTATGTTAGATAACTATTTATAACATTATTTTTTTCACTAATGTTAATCCAAACGAGGCAAAATGTAGTTTCAACCTTTATATTTACTCCTTTGATCCTAAATATAAGACTCTTATACACACTAGTATAATGGTCTTATATTTAGGATGAGAGGAGTAATTTATAACAAATTACAAATAGTTAATTACTTCTGTAAACAGTTAATTGTTAATTTTAATTTGGGTTAATATTATTTTTAGCTCTTGAAATGTAATCACATTTTGGTTTTAGTCCTGAAATATGAAATAAGTGATTTTGGTGTTGAAAATTTGACCTTATTTTTATTTTGATCTTTAAAATTTTAAACAAGTGGATTTAGTCCGTAAAATTTGACTTTATTTTGGTTTGTTCTAAGATTTTCACTCATTGAAATAAGGACTAAAACCAAAGTAGGGTTAAATTTTAGAGACCAAAACCATTTGTCTCAAATTTTAGGATCAAAATCAAAATAAAATCAAATTTGAGGAACTACAACCATTAGTTTCAAATTTTGGAATCAAAACTAAAATAATGTTAGATTTTAGGCACTACAAATTATATTAATGCTTTTAATTTTTTGGGAGCATATTCCATGCTCATTACAATGATAAGTATAGAGTACTCATTTTAATTTGAATCATTATATTGATTTTAAATGATTCAGATTAAATTTAATTTTTTTTATATATTTTAATTAATATTTTATTTTAATAGATATAAAATTCAAAATAAAAATAATCTTATAATTAAAATTTTTAAAAAAAATTTATTATTAAAAATTATATGTTAAAAATTTTAAATCTCAATCATTCATATTAAATTTTAAATTTTTTAGATTGTATTGCACCAAAAAGCACATGGTTGAGCACCGAACGAGGACGCTTAATTTTTAAGACAATATGAGCACCGCTCCAGATTTCAATTTTAAAATTCGTAAATCATAAGTTTTGTAGTAGTCACGCTTATTTACAACGCGCACACTCCATTGCCTCGCCACTCCAGCGCCCACTACGGTTTCGCTTCATTCTCTCTCATACAGCGTCTCTTTTCTTCTGGATTTGGTATCTTCTTCACCGTAGCTCTTTGATTATTTTCCGCTGAATTAGGGTTTCAATCTCTGTGAATCTCTTGTTACTGTCATTCATTATGAGCTTCTCCATCATCTTTCTGTTTGCTTGAATTTTGATGGAAGTTCTGTGGTACTGATGATTTATAATGTGTTTTCGCTTTCTATTTTGCGGATCAAGAACTGTCTATGGTTTAGATTTGTGGCTTTTTATCTTGTTTGTGCTGTTGTCGTGGCACCGTAAGTAACACATGCCTTTCGAGTGCGTTTCACTTGATCTTCGTCTGCCGTGTCTCAAGGATCTCGGATTTGTTTTTGTGAATAGTCTTTGAATTTGTACAGCGAGACACTTAGTGAGAAGTGTGTTGTTGTGACTTTGAGATGATTGTTTGTTAGGCAGCCGCTGTATTTATGCTTCTAATTTTTTGAGGAGTGTCGAGCGTCCACTCTAATTTCTGTTTGTGCTCGTACGATGTGTGGTAAACTCTGTGGCTTTGCATTATCGAGTCATTGAGTTACGAAAGGTTTCTTCATATTAAAGGAAGGAAATACCCATTACTGTAAAATGTAAACAGGAAAAGGTGAAGAAAATTGATAGGATCAATTAATCGGTTCCATCGTCTGTCTTGCCGATGGTTGAAAGGTTGGAGGAAAAGTAGGATGGGAAAACTTTCATTGGATTTTGTATTAGTGAAAAAGACGCAGTAGGAAAAAAGTAATAGAGAGTGGATTAGGATAAGGAGGGTGGAGACTTCTCTTATTGTTCTGTGGAAATAGTGAAGAATACCTTTCAAAATGATAAGAGGACTGTCTATCCTATTTGAAAGTTATGTGCTTATGCCTTAACCTTATAATGCAGTCACTAAAAAAATTGTATTTCTCTAATATTCGAAAAGGGAATATGAAATAGTTAGAGTCGTTTACGCTCTCTCCTGCTTGACCCCCCAAATATTAGGGCCCAAATACAATCAAACCTTATAAATTTTCTCTTCTCCACATTTTAGGCCAGACATGGATTAAGTTTACCTGTGGGACTGTTAAGATATCCTCCTTCCAATCTTGGCAATGATTGTTGCCTCCATGAAATCATATTATGATTTATCTTAGCTCATTTGTTTCCTTTCTCTTGTTCTTCGATAACAGTTAATTTTACTTTTGTCAATTTACATGAAGACGGATATTCAATTTACCTTGTAATTTACAGTTGAAGAGCATGGGTCGTGGAGTTAGTAGTGGTGGTGGACAGAGTTCGCTGGGCTATCTTTTCGGTAGTGGAGAGGCTCCAAAACCAGCAGAAAATAATGCCCCAGCCCCAGCCCCAGCTGAAGGACAGGTTGTAAATAACGAGCCTCCTTCAAAGAAAGCTTCCCCTCCAGTAGATGTGAATAAGCAGGCTCCTGCTGGTATCCACAGCAACAAAGTAGATGGCCAGAACACTGGCGACTTCATTACGGTATTGTGTTTGCTTGTTACATCTATTTGCTTCTTTTCTTAATTTTATTTTTCATGATAATTTGCTGTCAAAGGGGTTTTAAAAAGTGATGAGCATGACATCAAAATACTTCGTTATCTGTGGGTAGCATAATTCGAACTTTTATATGTGTGGTGGCTTCTCTTCATTGTGTTCTATGGTTAATTTACTTAATTGCCATAGTGGAGTCATCGAAAAAGCTTTCTATGCCTATTGGTGACATTTGGTTTGAATCAGTTAATACTGCAATCTCAGCTTCAGTTCAATTCAAGTGATGATCACATGTTCAATGGTTTCCCCTACTATCATTTATATAATTCTAAATACTTGAGAGAGACCTCTTGCACCTGCAAATGAAATGATTTTGTTTTTCTCCAATCAGAAGGAATAAACGATTACATTTGATGTAATACTTTGTTTAGAGTGAGACATCTAATTTAATGAATATGTTGTATCTGGCTATCTGCATGTCTTGTAAGAAGCACCCCACAAAAATATATTGCTGATTATTATTGTTATTTATGCTGCAGGACCGACCCTCAACTAAGGTCCATTCTGCCCCTGGTGGTGGCTCATCTCTGGGCTATCTCTTTGGTGGACCTAGTGAAGAAAAATAAGATTTCTGAAAGTACAAACCCTGAAAACATTGGGAAGATATGGTGTAATATAGATTGTGGTTGCTTGGATGATTCAGTTGCTTTGTTCTAAAAGCAGAAAACATGCATGCATAGTTTTTGCTTGTCAATGGATGTTTTAATTTTCAATTGCATATCTGGCTTTACTTGTGTACTTCAAGTGTTCTCGAGATTTTTATTATTTTTAATTTTGCTCTTTCTGGCTGTTTTTCAGATTTCTTTTTATTCACTTCCCAATTTTCTCCTACCCGTGTGCATTGGTGCCAATGTTGATATTTTGAAACTATCAACATTGAAATATTTACTACATCCTTTTGGAAATTCGAACTATTTTTCTCCTAGATTGATAATTACTTTAGTTTAGAGAAATCTGCAAATATATTGTCTTCCTCGGTATTTTTTTCCTGGCTGTAAATTTTCATCTCAGGTATCTTTGGATAATAACAGCAGACAATCAACTGCTTTATTCTTTTCCTTTCCTTACAATGACCATTTTTCTTTTTTGGGTACAAGTATTGATTCTGTGTGGCTTTTGAACTCAATTAGTAAAATGCCGGGGGGGAAAAAGAAAAGAAAAAACAAAACTAACCAAAGCAAATGTCTAACCATGACCATGAAGCTTGCCATTATGGCGGCAATCATATAAAGCTTTCCGATTTTCTAAGTAGTAAATATATATCGACCCCTGCGCTTACGTTCGGCCCCTAGGTCCATTCTAATGATTGAGAATTTGAGATTAAGGCACATCATGTCAAACAAACTCGTTATCATTTTTCTCTATACAGGACCATATAATGTCAAACAGAAGATCTGGATCCCCATTTTCAAAGAAAAATTCTCCTGTGTATCGTCTCCAATACATTGCAAATAAGATGATCGCCCACGAATGATTAGGTCAAAAAATTTGTGGTTTAGGAACAGAAGGGGCAGGAACAATGCCCCATTTCCTACGGACATCTTCTAGATCTTCATGAAAGTGCCGCTCATAATATACACACGTAAGATCAGTGCATTGCATGCCAGCTCGAATGGCCCATGGGAAGTAGTGCTGATAAAACAGTTTTCTCTGCTTTTCGCTGAATCTTGCCGTGCCCCCCACAACAGACAGCAGGCACATAGGAAGGTACATCTGCTCAAACTCAATCACCTTTAGTGCAGACTCTCCGATCAAGTTAGTCGGTAGGCCGAAAAGGGTATGCCAGAAATCATGAATTTCACGAGCTCGCATGGCTACGTAGGCTAGTTCATCTGTCTCCATGAACCGCACTGGAGGTCTATCATCTGGAGAAAAATTCCTGGACCCCATGAATCTAGCATAGGCAGCACCAAATGTGTTCTCTGGTAGGTCCCAAGCATGTCCAACTTCAGCTGATATCACACGAGGACGCTCTAACAATACTGCCTGCCAAGGACAAGAGAAAATGGATTGGTCTTGGCGAGATCTGACAGTATATCTAGACAAAAACACATTACTCCTCTGGTTTTATCTATAAGAAACTTCCAACATATTCTACACAGACCCAAAAAAAAAAAAAAAACTTTAAATGGTATTAACTTTCCATTAAAATATAACAACTTTCCAATTTACCCTAATGTAATAAATACACTTTTTCCCAAAAAGAAAAAAACACCATCTATATTATAATAAATGGAGGACAAAATACATTTATGCTAAAAATTTAACGAAATGACTTATAAATAGAACAAAAAAATTTCTTCTCTCTTGCCTTATAAATAGGATCAGAAGAGTATCTTTTCCTCATTGTAAAAGGCAATGAATGCCAATTAAGGCTTTGGCTTCAGCATGAGAAGAATCATTGTTGTGTTGGTTATTTTTATCTTCCGGGGTCTATTTTGCAACTTTATACGCGTCCTTCTGTAAGTTACTCAGTATAAAATAATATCAGGTCAATTCATCCCCTTTTAAGGTTGCCCCCGACTAAAAGATGAGCATTGTCACAAGTAAGAGGCCAACTTGTCCCTTTTTCTAATAAACGAGTGACTTGATTCCATTATCATGTCCATAAAGAAAATATTTCTATCAAAGAGAAGTCCATGAAGAGTTGAATAAGAAGGATATTCAACAAACTATCACTTGAGACGTGCAATAATGCCATGTCAAAACTGCAGGAAAATCCTAAGTACAATAGCAGTTAGAATTCGCAATAAAATGGAGGAAGTTCGTCATTCAATGATAAAAAAATTTATAGAGAAAGAACAAGAGTATCCTCCAAATCGAATGAAAAGATGCAACCATCGTCTTACCCTGCCTTCTAGACTCCGCTTCATCCTCTCAAGAACTCTCTCAAAAGCAGGCTTTCCGGTTGTCTCTCCAAGAGCTGCGATTAAATCTGCTCTTCGTGGGTCTAGCAATGCACCAACTGCTGAACCAAGAGCAACAGCGGCCTGCTGCCACCCCTTTAGTGGGATTCGACCACCTTCTATCATTGTGACTCTCCTTAGTATCAACCCCAAAAAAAGAAGAAAGTCTGAAAAAAAAAAAAACCAAAACAAACTCTCAGTTTTAGATCCCCTTCTTCTTATTCAGAACATACAACACACAAGCACAAATTCTTTTACTATTAAACGGTATATCTTATACAAATGACAGCTTTTGTATTTTGCCAAGTAGTAATAAAAACGTTATCTATCTACAAGTATATCGGCACCTGGTTACTTTCACCTCGGCTGTCACTTTTAGGCAGAGCGTAGTTTTTGCCAGAAAACAACTTTCTTGAAATTGAATTGATTATCAGTTTATTCGCATTCAGTGCAGAAATGGAAAATGTTTTCTTTCGTTTAACATTTCCCAACACTCCTTTGGTATTCAAAGAGAGGAACATATTTAATATGTTGCTCACAGTGGCTAATATAGAATCCTATAGATTTCCTTTCATTAATAAATTTACAAATTTGCACGTTGCATCTGTCTTTCTGTGGCCCTCAATACACAACAACTAGCCAAGCAGAGCTAGGTTGTTCGACCCATCTGTGATTGGGGAAAAAAAAATAAAAAAAAACGTTTGTCGTAATTTACGCACTCTAATCCAAGTACTTGACATCTATGGCTGAAGTTTAAAATCCAACTTTGTCTTTGCATTGCGGATGAAATTAAAGATCATAATCATGCAATCAGTCAATATTCATTGTTACAATAACACATTCACAATACGATAACAAATCCATAGAGTTTAAATCGGAATAACAGAACCATAAAATCCAATAGAGGGTTCACGAATGGAAAAATGAATATATCAGTACTCTCATAGAATGAATTTAATCAAGAAATAAAGGCCTACGTACTTCACATACGGGTTTGATTACCTTCGAGGTCTCTGGTGGTGTTTCTGTGAGTGGTGATTCCGATTCAAGGGTGAGGGAATTCAAGAGTGAGAATGAGAGAAACAATAACACAGGCACGCAGGCGACGGCGCACACAAACGGAGGACGACGAAGACAACGACGGAGGCAAGCACCAGGGAACAACTATGGCAGAGTCAGGGCAAAACAAGGTCGACTTCTTGTCCCGGGAGAGATTAGGCAGGAAATGAGGCCAGCAAAACGCTGCCGTTTTTGCTCCGGGATAATTTTATAATTGTTAATACAGTTTTCTTTTTTTGGTTTTATTAAATCTATTTAGGTTATTGGCCCAAAGGTGGTTCGACCCCATAACGGCCGAAATCCGGCCCAAATACATCAACGGCCCAGCATTAAAATGAGTCATTGCCAAGCCTTATAGTCTTATTGTTAGCCAACAATAATTAATCTAGTTGATAAGGAGTCGGTGCATAACTCACAAGATGATGAGTTTAAAACTCACTATTTTTTACCAGCGCACGCTGGCACGACTGGTAAGGGAGTCGTGTTCCCTTAATCATCGCCTCTGCGGTTCGATTCCTGGAGGGATGGGAATGGAGCAAGCGTGTTTGGGAGAGGGTCACCCCCATCATAGGCCCGACAGTACCCGAGGGATTAGTCATTGGGCTCGCTCCTATGGATACCCTGGTGCATACCAAAAAAAAAAAACTCACTATTTTTTTTAAAAAAATTATTTATGGTGAATCATGTGTTGAATTTAAACTTAAATATTTCTGTCCAAATTTTAAAAAAATGCCGTATCATCATTAATTTAATTAGCATTGCATTAATAGTGTGAATTCATTTATTTCCCCATTGAAGATGCTGAGTCTAATTCTTGCAAGACACAAATACCAATTTAGGAATTTGTCGACATCTGAGCTTTAAAGAGCGATTCAGTGTTAGCTTACAAGTTAAGTAACATTAAATTTCTCTTTGAATCTGTCCTAGTTTCATGTATTAGCAAAAATAACATCATACTATAGTGATTGCACATGCTTCTTTTGTCATGCATTAATGATTGAGTATAAAAGACAAATACAATCAGACTCATAAATTCCCCAAGACTTATCCTGTTTTAGTTTTACTTGGGATTTGGGAATAAATATGTGGTTTTGTTTTATCAGGTAAACAATTTTCTCAGATATTTTTGGTTGGGGACATCAATTCAAAAATAGTCACGACAATTTATCAGATTTTTAAGATTTTATTGCAGGAAATCTAGGATCCTGGGATTGTCTCATTTTCAAAGAAAAAGACAGAGGATCAGAGGTGGTTTTTCTCATATAAAAGTTTTCTTCCTATCTCAATTTTAGCCATTAAGTTGAGAGAGAGAGAGAGAGAGAGCTTTTGCGTGTTCAAACGCAATCAAATCATTCTGTGCATGTGGAAGTTTAGTCCAGTAGGTAATATTCTACTCATGTAGGTGTTTTTAAAAACAAGATATATTACTTTTTTCACTTATTTATTGCCATTTTTTATTTATGTAATTTGGTTATTTGTAACATATAAAAAAGATCAAGAGATTAGCATTTACCCTTTTGATGCATACACACACATGCGGAATCATCTTCTAGCTTATGTCAGTTTCTCCTCTCAATCATCCCTCCTCTTTTCTCTTTGTGAGCATTTCTATATTCCCCTTCATATCATTCTTATGCTTATCGATTCTCATGAGACTAACAGTTAATCGTTTCTATTCCAATTACTTTATTTTCATGCTTATGCTGTCCCCCCCCCCCCCCCGGGGGAGGTGGTTTTGTTTTATGATCCTAGGCATGAAATTTTGCTGTCAAATTTTTCTCCTATTTGTTGAGTGTGAACTTGTGTTAGAAGTTAAAAAATGGCGTCAACTAGGTTGTGCAGTTATTAATCATTGAATTGCCTTCTCAGATCTCATGGAAAAAACAGCAAATTGAACTTTGGGTTTTACAGCTTGTGGATTCTTGTACCAGATTGACAATTATCCCATGTTGTTCATGGATAGTATGATGTATATTCTGGTGTCTTTTTGATCTGTTTGAGGAAGTTCATGATTCTTAGGTTGTATATGGATTTCTTAAGTTGTTTCAGATCTTTCTTCGGGTATTTTTATCCCTGTCTAATTTTTTTTTCTTCCCAATAATAGAGCTACTGAACTTGTTCAAAGCATGGCTCTCTCTTGTGGTCATTTTGATAGAGGAGAGGTAAGGATTCATGAGAGTTTGGAAGAGCTAAAGACTGATTTGGCAGATCTTATTGCTGAACTATCAGAGGCATCTGTGAAGGAAAGGGGAGCGTTTGCCATTGCTTTATCTGGCGGCTCCCTCATTGGCTTAATTAGGTATTTACGTTCTTACCTTTTTTTTTATTTTTTTTATTTCAATATAATGTTTTTACATTTGAATGTCCTAAAATGCAATTCACCTGAAATATAGAGAATGATAGACAGTTAATGACCTTGTAACTTAATGACATGAAAACTCTCTTATAAATGAGAGATCATGAGTTCAATTCTATTTTGTAATCTTATATTATCAGTGTCTGTTTTTTTGATTCAAAGACAAGAGAAAGATAAACACAAAAAAAGAGTAGGACCCATTTTTCTATATCTATTTCTCTTTGTTAATTTTAGGTGACGTGCGTTTTAATCAATCAAATATTATGGTGGCAAACAGCAAACTCTCTGAAGCGCCTTATAGCAAGACAGTAGACTGGTCCAAATGGTACATCTTCTGGGCTGAAGATAGCCTTGCGGGGAAAAGCCATCCAGATAGCAATTATAAGCTTGCAAAAGATTGCCTTTTGTCCAAGGTTGTACCCTCCTGCTTCTTCTTTTCTTAACACAGATTGTTTTTTATTCTCAGAATCAGTCATGAATAGACCAACCTGGTTTTGGATTCCCATTAAAGTTCATTTGATCAACGATTCAATCTTTATGACATTAGATTTTGCGTCAAGGTGGCCTATCTTTTTCATTGTTCATTTACTTATTCACTCGCTGTCAATACTGAATACTTTCCGGCGGACACATGACAATATTTGCAGTTCAGGTCTTGTTCGTAGTAAGCACTTGATGATAATGTGGGGCAGATGCTGTTAAATGTAAGAGCTAAATAATTAATTTATGGATAATAAGAGCACTAAAATACCCCATTTGATCATTATCCTATTGATGAAAACTGCTTTCATATACATAATCAATAAAGATAAATTGAATAAATTTAGAAGACAAAATAAATTAGAGTCTTACATTTAACACCAAAACAAACACACCACCTCTTCCTTATATTTAAGAATTGAGACGGGGGTAGTGCATTGTACTTTATAAATAGATATTCATTTATTTTCTCTGATCAGTTCCCACTACTATTAGCAGGTGGCGATCATCCCTAGTCATGTGCATTCCATAAATGATTCAGTGTCAGCAGAAGAGGCTGCTAATGAGTACGAGTTTCTAATCAGACAGACAGTTAAAAATCGTATAGTGGGCGTGTCTGAAACAAGTGACTGCCCCAATTTCGATTTCATCCTTGTTGAATTGGGTGCGGATGGCCATGTTGCCTCTCTATTTCCTAATCAGTCAGCTTTGAAAGAGAGGGAAAAATGGGTGACTTTTACTACTGATTCCTCCAAAACCTCTCATGAGAGAATCACATTCACCTTGCCTGTTATTAATTCTGCATCTAACATAGCAGTGGTTGCCACAGGTGATAGTAAAGCAGAGGCTGTACACTTGGCGGCTGATAATATAGGGCCAGAGTGCCCTGTAGTGCCGGCAAGGATGGTCCGGCTGGTAAAGGGTAAGTTGGTCTGGTTTTTGGATAAGCCAGCTGCTTCAAAACTTCAACTTTCCCTGATGTCCAATCAGCATGAGCTATGAAATACCTTGCAAACGTTGCAGCAAGTTGATGTACATGGTTATGGGATATAAATGTTCGATTCTCGTAGATCCAAACTATAGTCTTTACCATTGGATAAAAAAAAAATTTCAACATTTTGATGGTTCCTCATATAATGAATTATGTTCCACAATCATTTGATCTTTTCAAGGTTTGTTCCACTAATTTGATCATCGGAAGATAGATAATAATCAAGTCAGTCTGAAACTTTTGAAAATCACATCAACTTGAGCTTGTCGTTGCTTCTGATAATCTTATGATAACAGACTAATCTATCATAGATCCTTCCCTGGCTCTCCGTTCCTCCCATCCCTCTACTCTGCCAAGGCATTTCAAAATGCAACAACACCATAAACCAAATACTGGCTTTGAGGGCCAGAGGAATCAATGTGAACTAAGATTGTCAATATCCATTACTTAACCAATCTTTCAATGTACTGCGTGTAACCAAAATTTTAATATCATGGAGGAGGTCAAAGTTATCCTTGAAACAATGAAATATCTGTCGCAATTATTCATTTTCAGTTCCAATAAAGGGAAAAAATTAAGTGAACTATTACTTCTTACGCAAGTACAAAAAACCAACTACCACTGAGATGCCAACTACGGCCACAGGAACAGCCCAATATTGCTTTGTCAAATGCAAGAATTTCTCTGAATAAACTGCGGCTTGATTTTTGGAGGAAACAGGAGGTGAAGTGTCAAGCTCACCAATACAAAACTTCTCCATAAGTTCTCTGGCACTTTGGCTGTGGCCAGCGTCCTCAAATTCATCTGTTGCATCTTTCCCTTCATCAAAGTAAAAATAAGATGTTTCAATAATTGTATTGATAATTGTCAATGGTTTCTTTCTCTTTTCTACAAAGCATGGACACCATATAATTTTAGTCATATTGCAAGTTGAACAAATGCCAGAGACTCGTGCTGAAGCAATGAACTCATGAAAGGAAAAACAACTAACAAATTAAGTACTAAGAGAGATTAGATACTCTGTCCTGCTGAGACAATTAACGATCTTGCCGTAATGTTTTACATTGCACAGGAATAATTAATAATATCATCTAATATTTATTGAAATTTTAGAAATTAATATTGGAGATATAGGATAACGACAAAAAATTTTCAAAAATTAAAAATTAAATATGAAAGTACGACAAGATGCTCAAATCAAACAGCTGTTGTGCGGTGCCATGTTTCTTATTTGTAGGAGTTTGAGGTGTAAATATGTTGCGTCAACCATCAATGTTTCTGCTTATGGTTTTTGTCCTATGCTTAGTATGGCAGTCTGGCAGTAAGATACAGAATATATGACAGTAAGCATAAGTACCAGTTGCAAGAAGGACTACTTCATCACCTCCAGGATGGTCATCCAAATATGAGGTCACATCATATACCTGCATTCATGATCAACATATTTTAGATTTTTTTTTGCCTTTTAAACTAGATATGCAACCATCAATATATAAGCCGCAAGTTGCAAAGTCCAAATAATCACTTCTTCTTAACTAGACCAAAAAAAAACAGATGAGAAACCAATAAGTAAACGTAAAAGAAACTACCATCCCAACAGGGAGCCATTGGACAATTACTTCTGACAACAAAAGGAAGTGTTATAAGCATGAGCAATCACCTAAGACGCAGACCATCACTTAACCTCTCCTGCTCCTTGACTCCCCGATAAAAACCTAACCCCCCAAAAAAAAAAATTCAAAGATGGTGAAGATACACCGATGAAGATGTAACTTGAGAATCAATTACTAGAATTGCTGAAGATGTGGTCGTATTCCAAGCATTGATATGAAAACTTAAAATTTAAGAAGTTTTGTGAATGACTAGAATTCCTGTTACCAAAGGAGAGACAAAATTGAGCAAAAAAGAAAGAAACAACAACAATAAAGCCTTATCCCACTAAGTAGAGTCAGCTACATAGATCATACAACACCATTGAGCGCTATCTAAAACCAAATCAAAAATAAAGAAATGATAGAACCACCCCACCCCCACCCCCACCCTTTTTTTGAATTGATATGAAAATTTAAAATTCTAGGGGTCTCATGACTAACTAGCAATCGTGTCACCTCCAAGGTTTTTTTTTTTGGGGGGGGGGGTGTTTTATTCATAAAAGAGTGTTTAATAGGGCATCTTATGTAACTACAAAAGCAGAAGGGGATATCATACTTTAATTAAGAGACAAGTTCTTATTCATCAGAAGCTACTTGACGCCACATAAAAGAAGATGCAGAATATATATGTGTGTGTGTGCATCGGGTATGAATCTATGCATATAACTCTCATGTGTAGCTCACATTAAAAAGCAACTACCATGGTTACGGTGAAACTAATTTATTAAAACATAGGACAAAAACCATTCACTCTTCCTGAATCTATGCATATTCCAGGAGCTGTTGGCAACCATTCAGTCTTTCTGAATCACAGAAATATTTCTATGACAAAGCAATAGAAAATAAATTAGGAAAGAATATAATGGGAAAAGGATGGCATCCGAAAATGATCAGGAAAGAAATGATAACAAGACAAAACTGAGAACAAAATGCAGATAGGAGGCAAGAGTAATGGAATGATACGATGTCTTGCTATTGGTCTGATTAAAAGTAATCAATCATAAACCCTTGACATTTCACAGATCATATTAGAGAAAGATATGCCTCAGGGGAGGCACAGGAACTACACAAGCAGCAATCTAAGCTGAAAAAGATTTGACATAATTTTCTCGCGTAAATATATACAAGGTAACAAATGCTTTTCACAAATAATTATTGAACTTCGTTGTCGAGGCTGAAAACAATAGTATTGAAAATTTCAGCTCCCCCACATTCCAAATCCAATCATTAGGTGCAGGACACCTTCCACTCGTTCTTGAAACTTCAAATATACGAAAGCTAAAAAATTTCCAGTGCAGAGATAAACAATTCCAAACAGATTTAAAGGGCAAGCAATGCTTCAATCCTCAGGAAACCAACAATAAAAATTTTCCTGCTCTTACTGTAGCATGGAATGTCAATACTCAAATACCACCCGCTTCTCCTTCATAAAGAGGCTAGTTAACTCCCAAGAAGAAGGAGAAGGAGATATAAGCACATTTTATACATGACCAGTGAAAGTAGAACACCACTCAGAAGTTGAGAAATACCCATCAGAGTGAAAGATAAAAATTAAGCGAAAAATCTTACCTTGCCGTCAATAACGACCCAGCAATCATCTTTGGTGTTGTGCTGGGAAGCCTCTAGCATCGTATAGAGCTTGGCAAGGGTTGGCATGTTTGCTAGTCTTCTGGCCTTTGACGCTTCAGAGTTGAGAGAGAGCTTCGCTAATGGGAAGAGGCAGAAATGTGCAGTAGCTCTCTTTCCTCTGACTGTCGCTGCCTTCCCCTCGCTACCCTCTTCCACCAATCACTTGCCTTAGGGTGTGTTTGGTTGGAGGGGAGGGGAGGAGAGGGAAGGGAGGGAGGGGTAGGGGAGGGGAGGGGAGGTTTCATCCTCCCCTTGTTTGGTTTGATTAAAAAGGAGGGGAAGGGAGGGCATTTAATGATCCCTTGTTTGGTTCAAGGAGGGGAGGGGAGGGATAGTAATAATCAATTTACCATTTTACCCTTATATATTAGTTTATGTTTTTTATTGATATATTATATAAATTAATTTACATCTTAATTTAAATTATATAATTTAATAAAAATTCAATCTTATCATGTTAATATGTGTATTAAAAAATTGGTATAGTAATTTTTTTTCTAATTAATATAATAATATATTTAAAATAATCAAATTAACAAATTTTATATGCTATAAGAAAAATGAAATTTTATTTTTTTTAGGCTATCTTTTTTTCCAGCTTTAAAATATATTTAATAAATAATATATTTATAAAAAACAATTAATTTTATAATATTATAATTTTTTTTTAAATATTTTTTATTTTTAAATAATTTTTAAAATATATTTTTAATTATAATAATGTATATATTTTTTATTTTTTTACTTAGGATAATATATTTTTTATTTGAAATAAATATTATAATAATATATTTTATGGGTAGAAGTGGAATATTAAAAAAGCCATAAGGGCATAATGGTCCAAAATTTTGGCTCCCCTCCAAAAACCCCCAATTTGGAGGGGAGCTAAAATGGGGGGAGGGAGGGGAGGGGAGGGGACGTTTTAGCTCCCCTCCCCTCCAAAATTTTTAACCAAATAAGGGGAGGGGCTCATTTCCCCTCCCCTCCCCTCCAACCAAACACACCCTTAGTTGAATTCTTTAAAAAAAAGGAAAATACTCTCAATCCGCCTTCTCGGAATTAATGGGCTCAAGGCCCAATAGGCTGACCTGGGCTTGACCATTCTTCCAGCCCATTATTATATAACTGGATCATAAGATTGCAAAACAAAAGGGGCACTTACAGTTTGTTGTCTTGACAAAAATTTGATTGTAAAACCTATTTTTAAAAAAATATTGTGATTTTACTGTCAACCATTAAAAAAATGAAAGAAATTAATGAAAATATGTGCATAGCTCACTTTTTTCATTATTATTTCTTTTAATGGATGGATATTTTATTTTAAATATTTGAATTGTTTTTCTCAAATATTTACAGAAAAAATATTTCAACATCTTCATACATCGGATAGAGGGTTAAGATTGCAAGCAAAAAAGTGCGGATAATTAATGAGAGACTAATCAATAATTAATAGAAGCAAAAAAGAAATGATGTTAAATTTTTTAGATAAGTTATTAGTATCTTACTCTAAATTTTAATAAGTTATTAGTGTCTTACTACTATCTTTTATAAAATAGTGACGGACCATTGTAAAAGCATTCTTTTATACTCCTCTGGCTAGAAAGAAAAGATTTGTTTTTGTTGAACTATTTTATACTCTATGTCTCTATTTATTATCATATGGATTGTTATTTTCTTGCAAAGTGTATATCATTCTTATTCTATTTATAAATCACCTATTTATTTTACAACTCTCTACATTTATTAAGTCAATAGGATAAAATTTAAAAAAAGGTTCATTAATCACCCTACCAGTGACTTATTCTAGGAACAAACTTTTTTTCCTACGAGTGATTTATAAATAAGAACAAAATAATATATTAAATAAAGTTAAAGTTAAAAAGTTATTAAATCTTAAGACATAATTAATATGAGGTTTCAGTTTCTCTTGATTATAATAAAATACTACTTCCGGTCCTAATTATAAGAGCTAGTTGACTAATTTGAGAAGATTAAAGAAGCAAGCTGAGTTAGTTATTTGTCCTAAATAAGTATTGTCTTTTCTAAAATATCCTTGCTAATTAAGTGTATTGACTAGAACTATAATTATTAGAAGAACTATCTTGAAAAAAATTGAGTAAATATAAAAGACAAAATGGATTAGGATTTTATATTTAGGATCAAAATAAAAGTCAAATAGGGTCTTATATTAAGGACTGGAGGTAGTATATTAAAAGTAACTTATAAATAAGATAAGAGAAGTATATAATACCAGAGAGTATGACAGAAATTTATGAGGAGATATTGATGGAGCAACAAAGAAGCAATAATGGCGAAGTGATATGTACAAATGAGAATGAACATGCATGTTGGCTGCATGGGAGAATTGAGACACTTCGTTAGCAGAGAACGACAAATTGTAAAAGGCAGTGAGAATTTGATGAATCATCATCATCTCTTCTGCTTCTTCCTTACAGAAGATATTGCATGCATGTGGCCATAAGTGCTAAAAGCTTCTTACTCTGCTCTTTTTATCTAATAAAGATGGCTTCCTCATTCATCATTTCTGTTCATCATTGGCCTCTCCCTAACATTATATAAACATCCTTTTCAATTTCGAATTAATTTACACGTGTCAAATCTATAACATCATGCCCCAGTTACTTTTAAAATATCCATAAAAATTAATCTAGTTGATATAAATGCGACTCATAAATATCTTACAAAGATGAGGGGTGGAATCCTCACAGATACTGCTCCGTCCTTTATTATAAGATCTTTTTAATTAAATTGTCTAGTTTAAGAAAACAGTTAAAATCAGTTAAAAGCAATTAATATGCAACAAATGTAATTTTTTTCCAAATATATCCCTATATATAAATGGGTAGATGTGAGAGAGTAATAGTGAGATAAATAAAGAAAAAATGTACTAAATGCATTAAACTAGGGGTAAAATAGGTAATAATACATTAAATATTCAGACAAACTCAAAAGTGATCTTATAAAAAAGAACAAACTTATTCAAAAAATTAGATCTTATAATAAGAAACAAAAGAGTAATGTATAACTATTTTTTGTAAATGCCATGCAAGCGAGGCTCGTCTTTTTATAAATGATTAATTAGATTTGAAAAGTACTTAGTAAAAATTTGAATATATGTATGTATGTATAATTATTTAACAAATTGAAAATTAAGATATTTAGTATTTAGGAGAAGGAAAAATTGATATTAAAAGAATATTCTAGAGAAGCATACAAAATGTTCACTCATGCAAACTCTAATTATCACAGAAGAAATATAGTAACATACATGTTGCCCTAAATAATGAGGGAAGTGATATTTTGGTAATATTAATATCAATTAGTATAAGCAGCAAGACAGGCAGACACATCACATCTTTTTGGTGAATCACTCTTAATTATAATGCTATATGTTGGTGAAGATGAGCCATCAATAGGGTTAGCTTTCACATTTCCATGCATCCGATATTAATCTTCTTATATATATATATATATATATATATATATATGTAATCCTCAAATTAAATCTTATTTTTAATTCATACAACTCTAGCAAACATGCAAAGGTTTCTTCAAAATATTTATATATGGTACATGTACATGATGATTCAGTATATGCCATGTAGGCATCTCTACAATATTTCACTCTCCACAAGTATGCTTCATATTATTAGTTTGCTAATTAATACTCCCTCCGTTCCTTATTATAAGAGACATTTGATGCTTATGGCATGTTCCTATATATAAGAGACACTTAAAAGTTGTCTCTAGTTTTTTATATTGATTTCCTATTTTACCCCTATTTATTTTGTCTCCAACTCGTACTCTTTCTTCCTCCCACTTCTCTTTCTTTTAATAATTTAATTGTTCTCTCTCATACTCTCTCTCCTTATTAATAGGGGCATTGCTGGAAAAAATATTATACTTTTTACACTTTAATTGTCCTCAACTAATTTTAACCGTTTTTTTTATCAACGTAATTTGGTTATTTGTCTCTTATAATAAGGAACGGAGGGAGTAATATTTTTTAGTGCTGTTTTATTTTTATTTTTCTGATAAGAATTCACCCCAAAATAGCACTTAAACTTTAAAACTTAAAGGACTTCAATTGAATTTGTGAAGTGAAAATAATATATTAAAGTTTTATAATGTATTTATCAGATAAACCTTAATAACAAAAACAAAAAGGCACAGAAGGTTTTGGCCTAAAAGTGAATCACCTGGATCACACTTGAGTAGAGAATTGTACGTTTTTTTTTTCCTTTTTTATGGTATACACAATTTTAACCAATTTCAAATTCTTTGACCAAATGCCCTTGATCATCAAAAGATTTAAATTGAATTAAAATTCAACACAATTTTTATTCTAAAAAATATGTATAACTTTTATGGGGGTTCACAAAGACAAGTATTTTGCTTATTTTCCCATGTCATCCATATCAGATTAGGTAATGTTTCAGTATATTTATTTGGAATATCCAATTGTAAAAATTCATTATATGAAGTAGTTTGAAAATACTTTGGTACGCTTAATTTTCAGAAAATTATTGCCCAATGTATAAAACAATTTACCTATATACATTGAAAGTTAAATTTGATGTGAAATTAGGATGACAAACCAACTCTAGTATTTTTCTAGAGGGCATATAATTAAGCTTCAGAAACATCATGGTAGGTCTTCAATTAATTCTGCATCATAACCACTTTGAAACAGATTGTATTTCCTATAACCAAAAATTTAAGCCAAATTAGCCTAAACAAATTGGCAACATTAACGTCATAAATAATGTCCAAGATTCCTAAAGCCTCCAAATCCTATTTTTAGACACAATCCCAGGAAGTTAATCTTAAAAGCAGATCATATGGGCATGTAATGTGCAACTAAGTGCGTTCTATCACAAATTTTGATGCTAGTTATATCCAAAAAAAAAAACCATAAAAGTGAGTTAATTGAGATCCATACAAGCTGATTCAGACACAAACTAACGATAATACAAACAAAACAAGATCTACACACGAAAACAGAGGAAAAGGGACATCATTACGAGACTAATAACATCTGGGGCAGGGAAGATTCGGTAACAGAATTTAAGTTAATATCGTTAAGAGATTTAAGGAACATATATACTTAAAATAGGTTCTAGTGAGAGATATGA